TAGAAAACAGAACACTTACGCTGCTGCATCAGAGTGTGGGAAATGACCATTTAAACCTTCAAACAATGAAATACACAACTGCAATTGTTCAGGTTATACAAATTTCTAATGTAGCAGCAAATGATGTTTATACAAAAAATAGACTTTTAAGAAAATAGCTGCAAAAATCTAAGAGTATAAAACATTTAAAAAATATATCTTAAAAGACAAAATATTGCCCCAAATGTATAAGACTGAGTTTTAAAAGTTCACCTATCTAGATTTTAATGAGGTTGGTTGAATGCAGCCTGTGGCTCAACATCTCCGAGGGAGGTGCAGCCAGCACAGGGAGGGCCTGGGGCTGTGGGATGCCACCTAGCCCAGGGCTGAAGAGCCTTCAGAGAGCTCCAGCTCCCAGCCCCGGCCTCTGCTGCCAGAGCCAGAGCCATTGAGTCTGTCCCAGGACACTCTCAGAATCAACAGACTGCCCCACAGGGCCAGGACGCAGGCTGCAGTGGTGAGAACTCTGCACAGGACTGGTGCCCTGCRTTTCTACATGGGCCACAGTATATCAGGTAAGCTCTCTGGGGCATGTGGCCTTGTCCATAGCCCACCAGGGGCCTCAGGTTTCCACTAGGATCTCCACCACATGGTCCAGTTCGGCCAGGTCGGACTTGCAGCTGGAGCCGGGAGGTGAGGCTGCCGAGGCAAAGCCCTCGAGCCCATCACAGAGGCCTGGCTTAGTGCCACCCATCATTCCTGTCAGCACAGTGTCCAGGTCATAGTAGGAATTGTCCACGTCTGAGAACAACTCCTCCACAGCGCTGGGACTTTTGTTCTCCAGGGTCTCAAATATCTGATCTAGAGACTTCTGAAAGCTTCCTCTGTTTTCTCGAGGGTTGCCTGTATCCCAAAGGCTACTCTGAGTGTTCCTTGGCACCTGTGCTGAGCTGACTGTGGAAAGTTCAGAAACTGGACCTTGCAAGGGGTCATCTCCCAGGTCAGGAGCAGGGCACCCTGCCTCTGGCCCTCTTGCTGTGCGACACAGGATCTCCGTGGACACAAGGCGGTCGAGCGGCACCCGTTCTGCACTCTGGGGTGCTGCCCCTCGCCACGCACCATCCCGGCTCATCTCCTCCTGGATCTGCCGGACTGTGTTGGCAATGAGGACTGAGCGGCAGAGGTTGGGCTCTACCAGCATGTGGCAGAGTTGGAGCTTGACCAGGGACATGTCCAGGAGYGACTGTCGCTGTAGGCTATAGGCAGGAACAGTGCCAAAGCCAGCCAAGGCACCCTCCCCATCTTCCTCCTGGTCAACACATTTCCTCTTCAGTCCTCGTGCAAACATTGTGCCCTGTGGGAACCAAGGAAGACGCCACTTAGCACATCTTAACACCCTGGCACAGTGCCCCCAGGACACTCATCAAAGAGAGAAGGGGCATCTGCATATGGGCACAAAGGCATGTCCTGGAAGGCAGCGTTGTGTCTGTGATATACGCATAGCCATACTGTCAGCAATAACAAAGCTTAAGGCTGTAGCATGACTTTTCTACCCACAGAAAAATGAACAGAAATAGGAGAAACTTTATTTCTTAGACCCAGGCTCAAAATCTGCATGAAACAATCCACGCATTTGTGCCTGTGAAAGAAGAGGAACTCTGCGGTGAGGCCCAGAACACAGAGCCATGGAGAGGACAGGGCTTGCAGACCACATCAACAATACTGTCCACCTTCCAAAAACCGATTAGCTATGGGATCCTCACCAGTGATAAAGTCCTACATGTTTTAGAAGGGCTGCTCCTTCCCTTCGAGAGTTTACTAACAAAATTATGGTCCTTTATGGCGGACGCTCACTGGGAAATCATACTCCAGAGATGCACAGATCAGAACACTGGCCTATGTCCTCCAGCGGGCAGGCATTACCTGGCTCCACAGCAGCACCTTCAGAAGGGACCAGGGCCCTGAAAAGCCCCCTTGTTCTCATRTTGTGTAACACAGTGGCCCAGCACAGCTGGGGCTCACAGTGATTACCTGGGGCTCTCCTTCCATGCTCGTGCAGGAGCTGAACATTTTTAYTTCAACTAACTTGAGATAAATGAATAAATTCATCAAACTATTCACAGAGTCTTTTAAAAATGCAAACTTTTAGGATTTTTTTTTTTTCAATCCAATGACTCCCTGTGGTTGGAGAGCAGCCGGGTGGCTCTGGGGAGCTGATGTGGGAGGCATGTGCCCACGCAGGGCCCAGGAGTAAGCGGTAGGTAAGCTCTGCAGTGTGGAAGAACCAGCTGCCAAGTGTCCCTCCCCAGGACAGCCTGGTGGTGACTCTCTTGCTGGCTCTACCCTGGGAAGGACAGGAAAAGATCCCCTGTCCTTCTGAATATCCTTTCAAAGTCCTAGATATCRCCTCCCATGCTTGCAACACTTTTAAATTTTATTAACTAAAGTAACCCCTTGGGCATTTATCCTAAAGAAATGAAAGCCAAGGTTTGTGTATAAACATATACAAGAACATTCACAGTGTTCACAYCTAACAGCTCCATGCTGGAAACAGTCCCCTCAGCTGGGGATGGCCGAGGAGAGGCCAAGAGACCACACCCTGTGGGATCTCACTTGACATTTATGCAGTGGCAAACTAAGGGGTGGGAGGGCCATGCAGGGCAGGCACAAGAAATCCCTGGAGTGAAGGGGATYTACACCAGGGCAAGTGTGCTACACTGCAGAGGACCCCACTCCCCACTGCCCCTGGCACCCACCTGGAGCATCAGGGTCATGCACACAGGGCCTCTGTGCCAGTTGCTGTGGGACTAGAGAATTTCAAACTGAAGAGTTAAGCCTGAGCCATGGTTTTCCCYAGCAGCAAAGTGGCATGACCACCTACACAGGTCCACACCGCACATAGCAGCGGACCTGTTCTTAAATGAACAGRAGCTCACCACCAAGACACATTACACTCTATCCTGTCTGGTATTATAGCATTCAAGTTCTTTGTCTTGGTGCAAATTCAACTTTTACAGAATTATTGTTTCTAAAAACCCAATCACATTTAAATCACTGGTATAAAATGGTCAAGTTTATCAAGAAAATATAAGATTATGTCAAACCACAGAAAAAAATTTGTTTGGGGGAAAAAATTAAACTCCAAAGATTCCTCCGTGGCAAGTCCCTCTTYCTCTTYTGGTTCTGGGTTTCTCTTTTCAACCATAAAATTCCAACTGCAAGATTTAATGTAGGACTCAAATGTCATAAATTAAGTTCTAGTTTACAAAACTTCTGGCTGCCCTCTCTGACTTTGGAAACCAGGTAATGACTGGGTAGGTCCACCAGAAGTCAGGACAGCYTACCAGGGGCACATGGGGCAACTCACAAAAGGAGTAAGAATGGGGCAGGACAAAGACCCACCCCTCAAACCTGGACACAGCTCCAAAAACTATCCTGAGAACTAATGACCTTGACACCCCTATCTCCTTGTCATGAGCCCCTGGGCAGCACACTCAACAAAGACCYTCACACTGAGTTCTGGAAGCCAGATGTGGTCCTAGGACCCCAGAGAATGTGAAAAGCCTGAGTTCAGTGCTCAGCTAYAGCTGGTAAGCAGCCCCTAGGCCGTGCCAGGACGGCACTGCTGCAGAGAAAGCAAGCCAAGGCACCYTTATCAGGATGTGCTCTTAGAACTTGAATGTGTACATCAGCAACAGCTGGACCACATTCAAACAGAACCCTAACCCATACCCTGCAGCAAGGAGCCCACAAGCCAGCTGCTGACCTACAGGACAACCTGGAAGTCCACAGGCTCTCTAGGAAGCTAAACAGCAACTTGTTAACAAAGGCACCAGCCAACACATAAAAACAACAGCTGCTCTAGTTTCTGTCCCTGCTGCAGAGTTGGACTAGTCAGAGAGGGGCAAACAAATAGCCCTCCTCCCACCCTTGCCTCTGTCTCTGGTGGAACTGTCCCCTATCTATAGCAGCTCCTACACATCCACCACCAGTTCTTACCTGCCTGGCTGCTGAGACAGCTTGCTGACAATCAAAAAGCACAGAAARTGTCCTACAATCCTAAGCACTCAGAGAAAGCCAGTCACCCGTGGGTCCCTTCCTCCCAGCCCTTCCCTGCAGGTCCACTGCCAGCTCTGCCTRGATGGAAGGCTGATCCCCAGTGGGGAGGTGCCCACTCAGAGTCTGCAGGAGCACATCAGCTGTACCTGGCCAGGCCACATCACTCACCTACACCTAGATTTTTGTCACAGGTAATAATGGTTTCCAAGTTCAGGTGTTGCAATGGTTCTGGCACTTGGTTTCCTAACCTTTGATTCCTGGATTAGTACCAGGGACAGGGGCAGAAACATTTGAAAGGCACCTGTTGAACACATCGAGCTGCTTTTTGGGAGGACTAAACCACCCTACCAATTTTATTCTGCATTAACGTTTGCAAATATGCTGGAAAATTCTCCCTACTGCTTTACCAGTTCTCTAAGTTCACTGCTCTACATGCAGAGTAACCCTGTTCCATATCCATGCTTCTGCTGGGYTCACACTCTGCCCTTAGCCTTCTCTTACCACCCTGGGATGAGGACATTCCCCCATCCCAGTACTGGGGATGGAACCCAGGGCCCTGAGAATGCCAGGCAAGGGTTCTACCACCAGTTACAGCCCCAGCTTGAGGACATTCTTTAAACATTAAAAATAAACAAGTTGCTGTGTGCAGTGGTGCATGCCTGTAATCCCAGTGCTTGGGAGGCTGAGACAGGAGGATAATGAGTTCAAAGCCAGCCTCAGCAAAAAGTGAAGCGCTCAACAACTCAGCGACACCCTGTCTCTAAATAAAATACAAAACAGGCCTGGGGATGTGGCTCAGTGGTTGAGTGCCCCTGAGTTCAATCCCTGGCACCCCCCCCCCAAAAAAAAAAAAAAAGTCTACAGCTCAGGAGGCTGAGGTAGGAGGATCACCAGTTCAAAGCCAGCCTCAGCAAATTGCTAAGCAATTCAGTGAGACCATCTCTAAATAAAATACAAAATAGGCCTGGGAGTTCAATCCCAAGTTACCCTAACCCCCAAAATGACTCTAATGGATAAGCTGCACTGTAGTCTCACATGGAATACAACTCAGCAACAAAAAACATAGAGGCCTCTGTTAACAACAGGAATGGATCACAAAGGTCCTATGCTGAAATACACAGTCCATGACCCACCTGAGTCTACAACCTAGTGGGCGAGATAGCAATACACGGCAGACAGTGCTGCTGCTGCGGGTAGCAACTGCTGGCAAGGGGCAGAGGGACTCTAGGATGTGGGGACACACCCCTCAGCAACATAGGGCACATATCTGTCAATATTCACTGAATTGCACTGTATCTGTTCATTTTATTGTATTAAGTTATACTTTGATTACAAAGAAAATAAGTAAATAAGTCAGCTAAGGATGTGGTAAAGGGCTACCAYATTAAAACTGAAAGCCATTTTGGCAAATGCCTCTTCTGCATGTAAGGTGTGCCAGATCTCCTTCTCTGCACTTTAATAATATCATCCACTTCAAGTGCTCCTAATCCCAAGAAAGTGGTAATATTGTTATTCCAATATAAAAAAAAAACAACATTTACTACTACAAAAAAGAGTTCATGGGCAGTTTTTACAATTTCATGACCCCAAAGTGCTATTGCCCCAAACCTGTGATCCAGAATAAGGGGATAACAGTGGGCCCAGGAGACTTGTAAGGAACCCCTATTCAGATTCTCTGTCGGAGACCAAGTTGCATGAAGCATGGTTGTGACTGGCCCTAAAGGATGTCTGGGACAGAGGTAAGAAACACAGATCCTCCTCAGCTGGCCTAGTCTGGGAACAACTCACTGTGGTTGCCCTGAGGTTGCTTAGCCCTTCCAATGCAAAACCCTGTGGGCTGCAGAGCTTRGCTTCCTGCTAAGTTGTACATAGAGTCCGGTAGCTATTTCACACCTCCCTTATTTCCCACGAAGCCAGAGTCTTTCCACGTCTGGTTAAATGACCCAAATCCCACCAACTGGTGTCTTCAGAACAGCCAACACCAGCAGGATTTAGCCCTCCACCCCCACCCTCAGGCCTCCTCCAGGCCAAGCACAGGCCTGAAGACAGGGCCAGGTGAACAAAGGAACTCTTGAGATGGCAGCAAGGCAAAGCAGAAGCTAGCCAGGAGCAAGGGGAGTGACTGTAACTGCTCCCCTGGAGCAACCCAAGGGAGACAGACGGGGACCGCCCCCAGCTGCATACTGTACTCTAGCAGCAGTTCTTAGTGGCTGAAAATTCAGACCCCCATATTCTGATCAGGAGGGCTGGGTGGTCAGGGACAGACCTGGCTCTTATCTCAACCACTCTTATGGATATTGGGCTTAAACGCTAAAAATGTCAATTTCTATCACACAATCAGATTCAGGTGAAATATATCATTAAAAAAAAAAAAAACCAGGTAGGATGTAACAAGGTGGGAAAGTGCAGAGCCCCCTGGTCTCTGAGGCTGCATGTGAGTTCATCATTCCACCACCATCTGCTGACAGCTCCTACCAGTTGGCTGCAATTACTTTTGATGCTCAGAGGATATAAGACTTTCTTATGCCTGGAAGCAGGTTCCGGGGGCAAACTGAGGGGAACTTCCTGGCCTCCTTCCCAGATAAAACCTGCTGCTCTGCCTAGAAAAGTCATGGCTGACTTTCTAGTCTTTCACTAGAAAACATGGTGACCAAAACAGTCATATTACTAAGTTCCTAAGACGTTAATCTTAATTTTATCAGCTCATTTGAAAGAATGGTTACCTCAGTCCTATGGACTGAGAGGCCAGACACAAAGGCCAGCAGGGGAAAAAACACGGAGGCTGTCTGGACCAGTGCATCYCCGGAAAGTGCTCAGAAAAGCCTTTTCCTTGGTGACCCTACTTTAGGGAGAGAAGCTTTTGAAATTGTCTCTGGTGCTTTTTCGGGTCCCACCTAAAAGAACAAGCAGGACTGTCCAGGGCAGCCCACGACCAGCTCAGAGGGAGGACAGTCCACTGCAGCAGGCGGAGGGACGCCCCCTGGGMGCTAAATAACACGGGAAACAAAGGCAAAGAACGCCTGCCCTGCACCCGGGGGAGGAAGGGTCCCCGGCGCGGCTGCTCCGCCAGCAGGACCCCGGGCAGGCCCAGCGCTCCCACGCGCTCTCGGGAGGGAAACCGGGCAGGAAGAGGCCAGAGGGCCAGCACAGGAGCGGGCAGGGTGGGAGCAGGAGGAAGGAGAGGTGGACGGGGGGCGACGGAGAGGGGCCGAGGACGGAGGGTGGACCGAGAGCGGGTGGGCGAGGGGCGCGGAGCCCGCGTGGGCAGGAGGCCGCCGGCAGGACGTCGCTCCGGTCGGTAGGCGGCTGCCCTCCCGAAGGGTCGCGGTGCGACGAGCGCGCACATGGCAGCGGCCGGGAAGCCCGCTGCGACCGCCCACCCCGCGAGCGCTCGGCACGTGCAGAGGCTCCCCAAAGCCCGCCTGCTCGCTCACCTGCGCCGCCAGGCCGGCCGCCGCTCAGCTCGGAGCCCGGGAGCCGCTCAGCGCCCACAAAGGGTCGCCATGGCGCCGCTGCGCGCCCGCCGATTGGCCGAGCGCTGGGCGGGGCTCCGTTCAAACCCGCGCGGGGCGGGGCTTCGGCGACACAGCTTCCCGCGCTGCGGTGGCCGTTGGGCCCTCGTGCTCCGCCACTCCGCCCCGCGCCGTACGCCCTCCCACTCCCAGACGGCCTCGCGCCCGACCCCGCCCCAGCTCCCAGACGGCCTCGCGCCCGGCCCCGCCCCCAACTTCCCCGTTGCGCTGCGCCCCACCCCCAGCACCCAGGTGCCCTCGCGCCCGGCCCCGCCCCTCCTGCTCCCAGGTCTCCGCGCGCCCCGGCCCGCCTCCTGCTCCCAGGTCTCCGCGCGAGTTTGGGACCGCGTCTGCGCAGCGCCTCCTTCTCGCGAGCTCTCGGGCGGAGGGTAGCTGAGGACGTGCAGGGCTATCGTGTGGAGGCCTGGGTGCCTCGTGCCGCTCGTCCCGCTCGTCAGCAAGGAAGCCGTGAGCATAGCGAGCAGTGGCGGCTTCGCGATGGCGAGGGCGGCTCGCTGTAGAGCCCTGCGCGACGTTCGGGCTCGCCCGGCGCCGTGGAGAAACAAGAGTGGACCTGAGGCCCGAGGCGCTGACAGTCGCGCCATGTGCCCCACGCTAGGGGCCCGCCTCTCCGGGGAAGGGGGATTTGTGGCCCCGGGAGGGACTCAGCTTCCTCCAGCGGGATGCAGAGGAGCGACAGGACCTGAATTGTGCTGGAATGCGTGGTTGGTTTCACATTCCAAAGTCACCACAGTTCACCACAGAGAATCGCAGTTGGGGATACATTTGGGGAGGCGCGGCGTGGAGGAGCCAGCTCGCTCAGGTCGTGGCAGTCCAGCTTGTGAGAACTTGCAAGCTCTGCATGTCCGACGTCCGGTAAAAAACAAACGCTTGTARCCGGACCCACACAGAAAATGCAATTCCCTATACGCAGATGTCCTGMGCACGAAAACAAGACKCCAAACCAGTAGAAAGTGGGCAAAAGAGATAACGCACACCCTTAAGCAGGTGACAAGAAGTTCAACGCAAATTGGAGCAGTGATATATGCCATTTTCCACCCACCAAATTTGCAGAGATCAAAAATATTCTCTGCAGCTGGACTCTGCTTTCACTCAGTGTCCAATAATATTCAATAAAATATTAACAAGGCATGTCAGGACC